TAGAACTAGTATAATCGATTTGTCTAAACTTGTTGATTGCCAACCCCATATGTGAGAAACCGAGAGACCCCTAGATCCAACGCTTTTTTTATTATTGATCTTTTACATGCCTTTAATTTCGTTCTGCTTATTACATTCACCGTGACAAACCACAACTTTTATAATCCGTGTTCTTGATTAATTTCTAGTTTTAGTGGATTTGTTTTGAACAACCTAGTCTCTGTGGATCGACACCCTAAGTACTACAACACACATCTGTGCACTTGCAGGCAATAGGGATATAAATTCAAAACGCGAAAAACAAACTCTAAAACCTGTTGCATTAGATGGGACGGGTCAGAGAGAAGATGTATAAAGAGGGAGGAGGAGGAAACCAACAATAGAGAGGTGGGGATCCGAGATCCCAAATAAAGAGGCCAGATGGGAGAGAGATGCCGAATTATCAAGAATAGAGAAGGAGAATAGCACATCACCGAAAAGAAGAGGCGGCCTGAATGCCAAACCCTTGTCGTAACCTAGTCAACCAGCCAAACTTAACAGCGAGGCTGAAGGGGATGATCTCAACGCTCCCTGGAAGGAACGCCAAACGAGATAAGCATTCTCTTCTTTCTTAACTCCTTGTTCTATCCACCATCAAGAGAGAACCCCAATCCTACTCTCTCCATGGTCTATTTACTTTACGCTTCCCCCTTTATCAAATAGCAGACGAGTATCACGATCCTCAGCCGGGGTACCAAAACCCTAAAACTATCACCACCTATTCGCCCTCCCGATTATATGTTCCCGGTATAACGTAACCTAATTTGAATGTCGGAGAATCTTTAGGAGAGAAATCCACTTTTTAGTTTCCCAAGGCCCGGCTTACCCGTTGTGATCGTTTGCAGGATTCAGTCAATTTGTCACCCTGGGACTGCATACCATTCATCTCTAAGAAAAATAAGATGTTTCTATTATTACTTCAAATTTTTTCATTTATTGACATGCTACATTTATAGAGCTTGAAAAAGTTGAGTTGTCCTCTTCTAGGGGGTGTATTTCCAACTCCCTCTATATATTAATTGAAAAGTATTTTAAAATTTTCATTTTTGTAAGTAATTACAATTATCTCATTTTACTGATGTGTGAGCACCACAAAGCTTCTCAACACACTTATAAAAAATGACTTATGTTATTCAACTAACTGCATGATGTGTCATAATGCATTTTTTTTTAAAGTCATTATGCATTTTCATGACCAAACATATGATATAATTTTTTTTAATTATTCAACTGATTTATTACTGAACAAAATTAACTAAATAATAAACACAACCAATAAAATGTAAGCATCATGTAAATTTTATAACAACAATGTATAACTTCACTCAAATATATGATTTGTCATTAAATGTTTATTATGTTCAAAATGTATGATATGATTCATATTTTGAAGTATTCAGATGATATATTAATGAATTTAAAAAAAATAAATATACACAATCAAGAAAATATAAATATCAACCAAACATGATATCTTAACAAAAAAATATGGTTATAATTGATCCATTGGAGAATAAATATATTCTTTATGTTCCTTTAAGAAGGATCTTTTAGAATATTCACAATTCTTAAAAAAAACATAAATTGACATTTTTACTTTTTATTTTTATTGATATTAAAATAAAATTAGAAAAGTTAAGAAAGAGAATAAAGGTAAAATAAGAAATATTTGACAAAAAATACCTTAAAAATGAAAAAAAAAATCTTTTAAAAACAGAAAGAGTATAAGTCAAGGTACAATCTCACTAAAAGAAGATAAATACATATTTTTCTGAGTAGAGTGGGTTCTAATTTACGACATCAAAATCATAACAATCACACACAACCAACTTCACTAACATAATTAATACTAGATGATCGATCTCTACCAGTGCAAGCTATAAAATATTTTATATATTCAATATATGATTAATACAGTGTATTGAAAATGTTTTATTTGTATATGATTAATTATTTAATAATAATAACATTATATAAATATTTAATAATAAAAATAGCAATAAAAAAATATAAAATGTTATAGATTATAATAGAAATTGAAGATAAAAAAATATTTACCAAGATTTTTAGATACTTCCTTACATAAAAGGTGTAAATATGATAACTAAATAAATAAAAAAATATTAAATATATAATAATTTATTTAATTTTTATTTTTGGCCTGCATGCATATGCAGATTTAATTTGTTTTTAGATATAATTAGCTGTAATATTTAAGTATTGATTAATTTTTTTATACATTATGTAAATGTTATGTTTTTATACATATACAGTTTTACTGTTTAACAACAGTCACACAAACGTTTCATATTATTTTGTATCTTTTGAAAACCTTTTATTTTTTCAAGCATTTACAATAACATGTAATTACAAATATAAAAATTATATTAAAGAATAATTAAAATTTGATAATATGTTTTAATAATATGCTTTCTTTTTCCCCTTACATAATATAATCTTACCAATATATATATATATATATATATTTTTTTTTTTTTTTTTTAAGTATACATTTTTTGACCTATTGCTAATTAAACCAAAATGGGTTTTAGCATCTCTACTTATCCTAAGAGCGGTGAGATGGTTGTTACACATGAATATAGAGATTGTTTTAAAAAATATTAATTATCTAATAACTAAAATTAAAATTAGATTGTAATCGAGGCTAACAAATGTATTCACGACAAAGTTTGCATGCGATTTTTACTTTTACAAAATTAATATTTATATATACACGCATATTTGTTAAAAGAAAATAACAAAGTATATGTTTTGTAATATATATTTTTATAATGTATGGTTGAATGTTTTAAAAAAAAATAATAATATGTATATTTATGCATGAAGGTATGAGTTAGAATTAAATGAATTGTAATATTTAGGTGTTGATTAGTTTTTCTGATATTTTCCGCAAACGTTATGTTTTTACACAATGCAGTTTTGGCGTTTAACAACAATCACGAAAATTGTTTCCATCATTTTGTATTTAACCAAAATTTCTTATTTTTCAGCGTTTTATGATATATGGTTTCTCAATAAAAAATATAATATACATTCATTATAAAATTTGTGAAATCATATTTTATAAAATTCACCGGTAGCTCGCTGCTCATCTCTTCGTCAAATTTTTTATAACCCTCAATTTTTTGCTTCCACAAACTCTCCATAACCGCAGCATTGAAACCAGTTGGATCTAAAGTTATATGTGTATGATTTAATGTGTAAAATAATATATTCAATATTTGACTGTTATATTAAAAATTAAGAGTTCTTCTGTTCCTAACTTTGATATATTTGTTAATATAAAATATAATGGACATCAACATATACAAAACTTGATTCATGAAACAATGTTTTAATAGGTTGGAAAAAATATATGCATGAAAGAATAGCCTAAGATTTTTACATAAAATCAAGGTCGTAAAGATTCATTTTTACTTTTACTTCTACTTCTTATTTATATATACAATACTATAAAAAATTGCTAAGAAGATACTTATAATTTATTTTTATTCGTTTATTTTTTTGTTTTATTTATAATTTGAATTCTTGCTATATAATGATAATGCATTCACATATGATATAATTTTTTTTCTTATTTAAAAATAAGATTTATTTAGTTATAACTTAACCAATCAAAATATTTCATTTATATTAGGAAATTTGTCATCTCACATTTCGAGATGATCATTAATTTACACTAACTTTTCTTCTGGTTGCCATACATCATTTTTTTTTTTATTAAAACTGCTTGCAAATAATATTAAGAATTATTACCTAGTTATAGTGTTGATTTCCAATTCCAAAAAAAATCAAAAATCAAAACCTGGAAAATTTACACGGAATCAAACCAAAAACTGATGTCCATCTCGTTTAAACATCACTAACATTTATTTACGGCGAGGGCGAAGCAGCGGCGTTGTGTTTCTCTGCTGGATCTCTCTGCTCAAGGACAGCAGTCTTCTAGACAGAGTTTCAAGTTGTTTTGTCGCTTGTGTTGTCGTGGCAACGAAGATGTAGAAGGAGTTCGGTTTTCCATCGTGGTGGAGTTTGAGTTCCACGGTAGTGGTAGTGTTGTGTTGTCTCATATGATTCAGGGATTTCGGTCTTCTTCTCAACTTCACGGCTCTTTGCATTTTGTAAAGGATTCAGTTTCTTGTTTTCTCGCGGCTTGTGAGAGGTTCTTTGAGTGCAGTTCTGGTGCCGTCTCTTTTGTGATTCAAAGGAGGTAGTAAGGTTAGTGAGTTTGCGACACTTGGTTCTGTGCTCGCTGGACAAAAATCTTTGTAGAGTGAACTAGCGCTTTTCTAGGCTCTGCTTGCTAGTGTAGACCCATCTTAGTATTGGCCATCTTAGTATTGGATCTAGGTTTGTTAGTTGAGCGTCAAATCTTAGATGTTGAAGACAGTCTTCGTTTGGGCCTCCACTTACTCCTTAGAGCAAAGGCTCTCCTTTCGGGCTACCATATGAAACAGCTTATCTTATGCTTAGAGGAAGTTTTTCTAATTGTTTTTCTTGTTGTCTCCTTTCCACCCTGGCTTTCATCTTTACTCGAGTTTTCAAATTTGTTATTGCTACTAATTGATACCAAATGTTTCAAAACTAAGGTTTTAACAAAGCACCGATTGATTTTGCTTCCACGTTTTTTATCTTTTTTTGCCATAGGACCAAGCATTAGGTAGATCCATTTGTTAACATATTTTGTAACACCTAAACATTTCATTTTGAATAAATATTTATAATTTAGAAAAAAACATTTTTTTTACTTTATCAAGAATCATATTATTCCCTCCATTTTTTAAAGTAAAAGATTCACAAACAAAAATAAGTAATACATTAGAAAAAACAAATTAAAGAGAAAAGAACATTATTCGAATATTTGAGTTTATGAATAACGACAAGAGTCATTGGCTTTTCGTATTCTGTGAGTCAAGAGTGTTTCGTCTTCCCTTCGCGTTCCAAGATAACACCTCTCCCATGTAATTAAAAGTTAAACGCTTCCTCTCTCTCTCTTTCTCTCGATATACTTCCTCCGTTTTTTTATATATGATGTTTAAGGTTTTGCATAGAAATTAAAAAGTTATTTAATTTTTTCTTTTTCCAAAACAAAACATTAATTCCAAAACAATTCAACCAATAGAAAAATAATATATAAAATAAAACAATTACTTTTTGCATTAATTTCTGAAAACATTATCTAATTATGAATAAAAAAATTTCTAAAACATCTTATAAAAAAAACAGAAGGAGTATATATCAACAATCTTCAGAATTCTTATGTTGCAACACAGTTTTTGATGAAGCAAGGTCTTTGGGTTCAATAATGTATTCAAGCGTAACTTCATCAACTCTACAGAGCTGGAGAGAACGTTCTCCTTCTTCCTATTCACTCAAAATTCAAAAACTTCTCTCAACTCCAAAAATCAACTCCCTTCTCCGAAGAAAAATACCAATCAAGTCGTTTCTCCTCTGGTGGATACAACTGGTAAGCTTTGCTTTTATTCACGACATTAGTCTTAAAGAGTTGTATCTTCCTCATCAAAAAAATAATCAGTGCAGTACTTTTTTGGCCTTTTATTTCTTATATTTGTAGTATCTCTATCATCTTGCCGTACATAATTTTTTTAATTTTAAAAACACATTTAGGAGAATGATCATATACCCTAAAGGGAACGACAAGGATGATGGAAGTGGGTTTATTTCTATTTATGTGGAAATAGATAGTACAAGCCTTGTGTCCATACCACCATCTGAAGTCTTTGCAGATCTCCGTTTTCTCGTCTATAACAAGAAAGAAAATAAGTACTTTGCTATTCAATGTACGTGTCCACATAATATTTGCTTTTGTGCAATTTATGTCATATATCTACTACTCAATATATCATGCATATATATATATATATATATATATATCCAGACCTCGAAGCAAAGCCATTCAATAAAGTAAGAACGGCATGGGGGTTGCCGCAAGTGCTTGCACTTGATAGATTCAATGATCCTAATAACGGATTTCTTTTCGGGGAAGATCATTATGAGTTTGGTGTTGATGTCATTGTTTTCCAACTCCTTGCAATTGTGAAATTCTCTCTTTAAATGAAAAACCCTCTCTACTAAAGCTCTCTTGGACTATCAAGAATTTCTCTGATCTGAAAGAGAATGTTTATATGTCAAGCAGATTTTCCATGGGAAGAAGGAAATGGTCAGTTTTTATAAAACTTATTTTTGGAATAATCCCTATGACTTATCTTCCGGCGACAATCCTGGATCTATCATCTCCCAACCGCAGCTTCGAGGCCCTAACTATAATGAGTGGGCGCTGAATCTCCGTCTAGCTTTGCGTGCATGCAAAAAGTTTGGGTTCGCTGATGGTAGTATCCCTTGTCCTGCAGAAGATTCAGAAGATCTTGAAGATTGGTGGGCAAACAACGCGATGGTGGTGTCGTGGATAAAACTCACCATCACTCCAGAGTTAAGTAGCTCGTTGTCTCACCATGAGATTGCTCATGACTTATAGGTCCACATTCAGAAGCGTTTCTCGGTGAAGAATGGACAGAGGGTTCAGCAGCTCAAAACAGAGCTTGCTAATTGTCATCAAAGAGGCACAGCAGTTGAAGCATATTACGGAAAACTTACAAAACTTTGGACAAGTTTGGCAGATTTTCAAAGAGCCAAGACTGCCGCAGAAATCGAGAAGGAAAAAGAAGATGATAAACTTAATCAATTTCTGATGGGTTTAGATGAGACAATGTTTGGTACCGTGAAGTCTAATTTACTTTCTCGAGATCCTCTTCCATCTCTTGATGAAGCATACCAAATCGTTATCCAAGATGAAGAGTCTAAGCGCGCTGGCCGTTTACTTGAAGAACGCAATGAAGGGGTTAGTTTTGCAGCTCAGGCTGTATCTCGCCCAAAAACAGAGTACCCTGTTCGTGATCCTTCAGCTTTGTGCACAACTTGTGGACGCACCGGACACCTAGCAGCGAACTGCTTTCGTAAAATCGGTTACCCATATTGGTGGGGCAGTAGACACGTCTGACACTATCGAATGCAATGCAGGGATCATCACACACTAATCCCTCCTTCTATCAGCGAAGTTCTGCAGGTCCACCCTCTTCCTCTCGTCGAGTCGAATCATCTTGGGTGAATTAAGTTACAGCGTCTCCTTCAGGTTTTGTGGGAGCTTCCTCTATTACCGACGCTGACAGAGTTGGTTTCAGTGGTTTGGGATGATCAACAATGGCGAACATTAGTTCATATGCTGAATGAACGAAACCCGGGTACCAGTGAACGTCTTACGGGTAAGTATTTTATTGAATCATGGATTATCGATACTGGTGCATCTAATCATATGACTGGTCATGTTGATTTCCTGATGGACGTTTGTGAGATGGCTCCGGTCTTTATTAAACTACTTGATGGGCGTTTTACAATAGCTACGAAACAAGGGCGAGTTAGTCTTGGATCTGACCTGAATCTGGTTAATTGTTTCTTTGTCGATGGCTTGCAGTGTCATCTTATATCAGTTTCTCAACTCACTCGTGATCAGGGCTGTCTCTTCCAATTATCTGACAAACTCTGTATTGTTCAGGACCGCATCACCCAGAGGCTGATTAGAGCGTGTGAACAGAGGAACGGACTCTATTTTTTTAGAAGTATGGCGACTGCATTGATGGCGACTCCTTCAAAGCAGCACTCTGTGGATGTTTGGCATCGTCGTTTTGGCACCCTGCTTCTACAACTATGGAGATGTTTAAGCATTTGGATTTTAGTAGCGATAATGTTTTTGATTCTAAGTCTTGCGATATTTTTATTCGTGCCAAGCAAACACGTGATCCTTTAGTATTAATGCAACATCAGATATTTTTGAGTTAGTTCATTGTGATTTATGGGGACCCTATTGTACTACATCCATTTGTGGTGCTCGCTAGTTTCTCACAATCCTCGATGATCATTCCCGAGCCTTGTGGCTATATTTGCTTACTGACAAAACAGAGACTGCTTCAACCATGAGAAATTTTATTGCTCTTGTGGAAAGACAATTTGGCAAACATGTCAAAACCATCCGAAGTGACAATGGTACCGAATTCCTTCCTCTCAAGGATTACTTTCACACAAAAGGCATCATTCACGAAATATCATGTGTTGGAACTCCACAACAAAATGGTCGTGTGGAGCGTAAACATCGTCATATACTTAATGCTGCCAGGACATTGCGTTTTCAGTCTAACTTACCAGTTGAATTCTGGAGTTTCTGCATCCTTACGGCCGGTTATCTCATCAACCGAACTCCAACGACGATTCTTACAGGCAAGTCACCATTTGAAATACTTTACAAACGACCTCCTCCGCTGAATCATTTGCGCGTTTTTGGATGTCTCTGTTATGTTCATAACCAACAACACGGTGGGGACAAATTTGCTTCTCGAAGCAAACGCTCTGTTTTTCTGGGATATCCCTTCGGTAAAAAGGGCTGGAAAGTGTATGATCTAGAGAGTGGGATTATATCTACCTCACGTGATGTTGTTTTCTCTGAAACAACATTCCCTTTTGCCGTCACGACTGCGATCCCACCTGAGACATCTACGTTTTCCTCACCGATGTGGGTTTTTGGTGATGAGTTTGAGTCTTCGTCACCACTTACACCCTCCCTCCCTCCTGCAGAAGTCGACTCTCCTGCTACAGACATTGACTCTCCCATCACGATTGTTGACCCCCTGACTCGGGTCCTGCGGGTTCCTCTGTTTTATCTGCAGATCCGCCTACTCCTGCAATGGGTTCTGACACGCCTCCTCCTACTCTGAAATCTACTTCTCTGGATCCGCCGAGTCCTGCGACTTCCACATCGCACACTGACTCTCCTCTGGTTGCGATTGAACTGTTGGCACCTGTGCCTCTTGCTCTTCCTCTTGATGACGATGATGGTTTAGGGAAGGGCCAACGTCTAAAATTGAAATCTGTGAAACTTCATGACTATGTTAGACTCCCATCGAGCTTTTCTTGCCAAAATCACCTCAGCGGTTATTCCAAAATCCTACTCTGAGGCATTTGAAGACGAAAATTGGCGTCAGGCTGTTCGGGGAGAGATCGATGCTCTCGAAGAGCGAGGTACGTGGACGGTTGAGTCTTTACCACCAGGGAAGAAGGCTCTGGGTTGTAAATGGGTTTTTACTATCAAGTTTAAATCTGATGGTTCACTGGAAAGGTACAAGGCACGTCTTGTGGTGCTCGGGAACAATTAGACTGAAGGTCTTGATTACGATGAGACTTTTGCGCCAGTATGTAAGATGGTTACAGTTCGCTCTTTCCTCGAAATCGCTGTTGCTCGTGGCTGGGAGGTCCATCAGATGGACGTTCATAATGATTTCTTGCACGGGGACTTAGACGAAGAGGTTTTCATTCGATTTCCTCCGGGTTTTCATACGACGGATAAAACTCAGGTCTGTCGCTTACATAAATCTCTATATGGCCTCAAGCAAGCTCCGCGTTGCTGGTTCGCAAAGCTCACTACGGCCCTCACGGACTATGGTTTTCAGCAGTCTATTGAGGATTATTCCCTCTTCACGCTTGCGGACGGCACTACTCGATTACATATCCTGGTGTACGTTGATGATCTGATTATTTCAGGGAACTCTCCTTTGGTAATTCATGAATTCAAGAAATACTTGAGTGCTTGTTTTCATATGAAGGACCTGGGGTTCTTGAAGTATTTTCTTGGCATTGAGGTTGCACGGAGTCCCACCGGTATGTACCTTTGTTAGCGGAAATATACACTGGACATTATCTCTGATATGGGACTTCTTGGAGCTAAACCTGTCTCGCATCTGATTGAACAGAATCATCAATTAGCACTCGCTGGTGGCGAATCTCTTTCAGACCCTACTCGTTACCGACGTTTGGTGGGTCGGCTTATCTAACTTGGTACTACTCGACCTGAACTTTCCTATGCTATACATGTTCTGTCTCAATTCATGCATGATCCCAAACCGGACCACTGGGATGCTGCGATTCGCGTTGTATTGAAAAGTAATCCGGATCAGGGTATACTTCTCCGATCGGGCTCTGATCTCCTTGTAACTGCGTGGTGTGACGCGGATTGGGCGGCTTGCCCCTTGTCTCGTAAGTCACTTACTGGATGGTTCATTCTTTTGGGAGGCTCACCTATCTCGTGGAAGACACGCAAACAGGATACAGTGTCTCGTTCTTCCACGGAGGCAGAATATCGAGCTATAGCGGACACGGTTAGTGAAATTCTGTGGCTTCGGCGTTTATTGACGACTCTCAGAGTGGATTGTTCACTCACGATTCCTCTGTATTGTGACAATCTTTCGGCTATACACCTAAGTGCCAATCCGATCTTTCATGAACGTACTAAACATGTGGGTTCAGACTGTCATTTCATCCGGGATGAGATTGTTCGAGGAATACTGAAACCGTTTCATGTCTCTACTACTGAATAACTGACCGATATCTTCACAAAAGCTTTAGGGCAGAAAGAGTTCGACAAGTTTTTAGACAAGTTGGGTATTTGTGATCTCCATACTCCAACTTGCGGGGAGGTATTGGTAGATATATTAGACTAAATATGTAATTAGCAATTACTTATGTTTAGTTATGTAAATACACACTTTGTATTAGGTATGCCGATATATTTATAAGACGCAGCCTTATCATTGAGATCAATAAGAAACTCTTTCATACCAAAATAGTTTCTTGGCAATTAGCATTCTCAGATAACTGTTCTTACATCCTTTTTTTGCAGTTAATTGCTGGCACAACAAAACAAATAAAGGTTTGGGATACTATCAGTTTGTGTCGTTAGATGAACTTTGAAAGGCTTACTTGGATAAGGAGGGCACTTTGATTGTAGAGATCGAATTTCATGTTGTTTCTGAAACCAAATTCTCTCACCCATGATTCAAGCTCTACTTTTAGAATTTCAGTTATTGCTTTTTAGACTTCTATGATATGTTGATATGGTCTCATATATGGTTTTTTTATCTAAAAGGGATTTTTTGTGAAACATTTCTATGGAAGAGGATTACATTTCACGATGGGTTGTAGCATTTCCATTCTTGTTCTCATACATTAAGGTCATCCATGGAAACTAAATACTCTCACTCATGATTTAATTAATCCCTACTTTCAGAATTTTAGTTTTCCATATAGACATGATATATTGATTTAGTTTCAAATGCTTTATTTTTGCTTTATTTGGTTTTGATAATTAAGCGAACAACCCAAAAACGGTAATTTTTCTTAAACATATAAATTGAAAATGATTACATTTCACGCAGGCTTGTTATAGACTTTCTTTTTTTTCCTCAAAAATGAAGAGTTAACCATGGAACGCAATGACTATTTCAAAGATTTATTGCTTCATTAAAGTAACTAAAACATAAACGACATAATTTATTGATAAAACTCTCCCGAAACCAAGAGTCACCAAAGGGAAACAAATTAAAACCGACAGAAAATTACGATGCGGTCCACAGAGAAGCATTTTGAGAGTGTTGAGTTTAATTCAAAGTCAGATCTTGTTCTAACTCTTCAACCGTACACACGGGTTGATTCATGTGTACACACGCGAGTGGGCTTATAAAATGCTCTGAAAAGCTCAGGAGGAGTCAGTCTGAACATAAGTCAATAGACCCAAACCATGGTGAGTTTGAAGACCCAAACCATGTTGTCCTTATAACTTTTGAACTCACTTTTAAACATTGGCAAACTACAATTTGATTTGCATATAGTAGAATTCATTCTCTTTCTCATACTCCATATCAAGAAACTTTATCTTGGAAGGTAAACTTGCAAAAAAAAAAAAATATATATTGTACAAAACTCTTGTTTTTGATATTTTTTTCTGATAATATTAAATCGAACTAAAGCATTTGAGAGAATCATCGACTTGGTTTGGTTTAAACTTTGGTTCTTGTTAGGAATAAAATTTCGAATACCGAAAAAATATTAAAACCTGGAAAATTCGAACCAAAAACCCGATGTCCATCTCATTCAAATAGCCCGGGCAAAAAAAACCGAACCCAAAAACCCGAACCGGAGCCGACCCGAAATAATCGGTTCCGATCGGGTTCAGTTATAAGCTATTTACCCGATGGATATTAAATTTAGGAACCGTGGGTATCGGGTCAGTTCTGGTTCCTACCCGATACCCGATCGGTTAACCGAATAAAAATATTTATGTACTTAGAGTTTTGTAGAGCGATTTCCCGATGAACTAGATGGACCCAGAGGTCGATCTACATACTGTTACGTAGGTATCACAGTCAGCTATCCAGATCTTCTTTCCGTTACTGATTCCAAGTTATATTTAATCCGAAAATCAGTTTTTAAATTGACGAAAAATTTCAGTATTTTGAGAAAATTTCAGTTTTTTCGGGTATTTGGTGATATTTCGGGTATTGACACAAGGTTTCTTAGGTCCCAAGCCAATCAACCCTCTATGTTAATCAGTTGTAGCATAGCATAGGGTTTTATATCAATCCAAATGGGTTTGTTGAAAGCAGAAGAGTTGTGAGCAGAGATCTATAAGTCAAGCGAAGCAAAGAAGAGTTTTTGTTGCCTAAGCAACCAATCTAACACTCTAAGATGATCAAGCAACAAAGAGAATAAAGAAAAAAGCAGTTTAAACAAGATTAAGAAAGCAAAATAGAGCAAAACAGAGCAAATTTGAAATTCAATAAAGAGAAAGCAAGTTCCTAGATGTGGTTATTGACTTTGGAGAATTCAAGAACTAATTAAGGTTGTTTCAAACAACATTGATTAAGCAAACAAGATAGCAATGGTGATTCCTAGACATAGAGTTCACAAACAAGCAAGCTAAATCCAATGTCTTGTAAAATAGCCTTTTGCTAAACACCTTAACAAGAACTAACTCTCATTAGTGCTAAAACATTCAGCAAGCATTAATAAACAACTCTATTCAAGTCAAAATGCTCCTCAAACAGTCAATATCTTGAGCTAAGGCCAGCAAATCCTCTATCAAACAAGATCAGCATTTCATCAAACACTTGGTGGGCATAAGAAAAAGCCTAAATTCTAGATAAGTGTGATCAAGAAAAATCTAGTTTAAGAACAGATCAATAGAGAGGAACCCATATAATGAAGCACTAAACAAACCTTAATCAAGCCTTAAATTCCCCTAATCTACTACATCTAGAAACTCTAAGCAAACTACTCATTGATAGCCATGTTTAACACCAAATCACAAGAGAAAAAGATGCTAATCATGATTAAAAGAGAGATTAAAGAAAGATTAAAGGTAAATACAAACTTATATTAAATAAAACAAAAGATTTGTCTTACAAACTCAAAGAAAATGCTTAAGAACAGTAAATTGACATGATATCTCAAAAATTCCAGAAAATAGGCTATTTATAGGCAAAAGAAGGAAGCCCTAGAGTAATGGCAAAAGTGTAAATAAAACAGGCTCTGACTGGGTTCCTATCGGTCAGTTGTATCGGTCTGGGCTTGATCGATATGATTTGTATCGGTCTGGAAGGTGCCGATAGGTAACCGGAATATATTCAGTGCATTTGTATTGGTCACTCCTGACCGATAGCTTTGATCGACATGGTCTGTATTGGTCACTCCTTGACCGATATCCTTGATCGATACGTCTTGTATCGGTCACTCCTTGACCAATAGCCTCCGTGCATAGACCGATAGGCTCTGCAGAGATCGTCTGCCTTAGTCCATTTTGCTCCTTTTGGCCCAACTAGCTTTATGGATCATCCTCGAAGCTCCTCTAAGCTCCTTTTAGCTCCATAAGCACCAAAAAACATCCATAATGCAAGAAAATGCAAATTATATCCTAAATGCAACCTAAGTCTAAAAGAAGAAGAAAATGGGACAAAAAATAAGGAAAACATACAAAAGAGGACCAAAACATGTACTAAATGCAAGCCTAAATGGTGTAAATACAAGAGATATCAACACCCCCACACTTGCCTTTTGCTTGTCCTCAAGCAAATAAGAACAAATGAGAGAGTGAGGTTTGAAGGTGGGCATTCAGATCCAAAAGTGCAAAGGTAAAGTGATGGTGTCAATGCTTAAGTGCCTAGTTGTGGGATGCAAACATAATCAGCTTTACTTTAAAGAACCTAGCTATGCTCATCATGTTTCAAAATGATCTCAAATCTCAACTTAGGCAAATGCTCAAATCAACCAACTCTTTAACATTCAATTAAGCTCAGAACATGAACCATGCTTATGCAAATCAGGTGAAGACATTTGGTTTAAAGGGTAAGGTTATGAGATAAAAATGATCTCATTCTAGCAAAAGGGTTTTCAAACACAAGGGATCACTAAATGAAAAAGATTCCATCTTCGGCAAAATGCTAAAAGTAAAAACACAGTTATGCATGCAATTCAAAGCTCTCTTCTACCCAAAGATGAATCTTAAATACTTCTAAACCCAAAAGTGAACCCCTAAGTCTACCATTTTCCTAAACTCTACCCTTTACCCTTCTTCATGGCTGGGGAAACTCGTCTTTTTGCTTGTGTGGTTGCTTCCTTTTGGTTGGGACTTGTTCTTCTTTGTTGTATTGGTACCTTCATCACCTTTGATGGATTGCTCTTGGTCTGATTTTTCTTCTTCTGACCTTTCTAAGCTTTGTTGCTGGCGCCTTTCTTCTTTACACTTAGAGCTTTTACTTCCCTTTACTTAACCACAACTCTAGACTGTTTCCCCTTTACTTAACCACAACTCTAGACTGTTTCCCCTTTCCTACCATTTCAAACATTTTCGTTTTCTTTCAAAACATATATACATGAAGTTCAAACCACTTACACTACCCTTTTAACCTAAAACTCCTATCCTAGAATCACGCTCAAGATGCAAGCTGATATATACAAGAGAGCTTATTATTGCCAGCCTTATTCCTAACACTTTTTGCCAAGACAAAATCAAAAATGCAATGCAAAGGCCTCACAGCTCTCAAGATAGTGTTTTGGCTCAAAAAGAGGTTTTGGTTAAGGGTGTGGATTAACTGTCTCATAAGTATGAGGATCAGCTACTTGGATCAACAAGAGTGGTAGAAAGGAAAAAGATGATCCAAATATGTATACGGTAGCCATGAAATCACTTTTCAATGCATAAGACATGATAATTAAAAGTCCAAATTAAAGTTCAAGTTGATAGAGTTGATTTTCAGAGAAAAAATGCTTTCATAATTAGATGAGAAGACGAAATCTAGCAATCTAAGCATTGTTCAGCCTTAACTTCTAGCAATCTTATGATGCATCAAACAACTAGCCACTTAAACACTGAAATCATCTCTAAACTCTAAGCACTTTACAAGGAAATTTCATCATAACGCCCTATGCAAATGCAATGCAACCTATATGTCAACACTAGACTCAATCCTAAAAAAATGAAATGCAACTACATGCTTTCTTTTTGGTTTGCGAAAATGCAAAACAATTTCAAATTTTTTGATTTTTTTGTGTTTTTCTATGTCTTATATGAATCCATGATATGCATGAGACTCAAAGTGAAAGAGAATGAAAAACTAAGAAAATAAAACACAAAGTCAAACCTCAAATCTCTCCCCCACACTTAAATTACACAGTCCCTTGTGTAATTAAAGCAATGAGAGAGAGAAGCAACAAAATATAATACAAAATTGAAAAAGATGCAATGGTATAGACAATGAGTAGGATGTGGTACCTTGCTTAATAATTGGAGTGGTGGGAGGATCCAGATGTCTGAGGAGACTTGCTAGCTCTCCTCTTGTTCCTCCTCTCATAAGTCCCTGAAGATGGCTCTGCTTCTTGTGGTGGGGGAACCCAACTTGACCATAACTGCTCAGCTTGTGAAGAAGTACCTTGGTAACCCCATTGCCAATTTTGTTGAACCTCAGAAGGGTAGGGAGTTGGTTCCATGCTGATGGAATATGGGACCTTGGCTCATATGATGAAGCCCTTGGTTGTGCCCATGTTCCCCATTGATCACTAGGCTGTGCATAGAAGGAGTGTCTTCCATGGGGGTTCCAGACAGCCTCCTCTTCTTCAGTTGGGTCAACTTGTGGCTCAGACTCTTCTTGATGAGAAGTGTGCTCATGAGTGTGGATCTTGTGGGAAGTTCTTGCTGATGTAGCTTTGTTCTTCTTGAA